AAAAGATTTTGATCGTGCATTCAAGGATTTTGTTATTTTGGGAATCGATGGAAACCGACTGTCAACAACTTGCAAATAATTACATAAGGGCAGGTATAAATCTGTGCCAGGCTTGCTCTAAATTCTATAAATCTGATCGTGAATTCCGTTTAAAGCGATACCCGAATCTAATTTTCATCGCGACTGCTCGTGGCAATCGACGACGAAGAATGAGAAGAGTGAAATAAACATTCAATCAATTAAACTTCACATTTTTCAAATATGAAATCAACGACATTTGTTTTGCTTATAATAACTTACGTTATGTTAAAGTTTTAGAGAAGCTACTTAGAGTAAGAGAGAGCAAGTACTTTTAGTAATAAAATAATTAATAAAAGTCTTTCAGATCATTCAAAATCTCTGTTCAGAATTTTGATCGGAAAGTTTCCTTTCACAAAGACAGGGTTTTTTCTTTCTTTTTCGAAAACAATACGTTTCCAAGTGGACGCAACTTTTATAGCGAAAAAAGATTAAAGACTATACACGCCACAGAGCGCGGAACAAGACTTCAAGATTCTATCTTTATCCTTGGTGGCTATGCTTGCCAAACGACAGCTGCTTACATCTACTTCCATTACCCGTATCTTGACATTTTCGAGGATTATATTGCAACACACATAATTTCAACATATTATCTTACAGTCTGCCGCTAAAGTCTAAAATTAAAATTAAAAATATTTCGCGTGTAAATTAGCGGGATAATTTGCTATTCTGCTTGTACTCGGCAACGATGCGAGTACATCGGACCCGAAAATAACATCAACGAGTCCGTCTTGAAATCAAGATAATTAAAAGTAAAATAAAATAAAAAATGAAGAAAGAAAAAAAAAAAGGAAACAAGCCCAAGTGTGTGTTGCTGTAGAGTATTGTTGAGAAATCCTGCGATACTTTCTGAGAGAGACAGCAAAAGCTAAAATGTGCAAAATGATAACATCTCGTGCCAAATGTACCGAGCACGAGAGTGATGTAACGATGAAAATTTACGAGCGGTGTTTGCTACGTATTTTCTTTTTATCTATATACCTATGAAATTTCACCTCGAACCGTTACATCATCGACCAAGAAATCGGCAACCTGTCTCCGTATAAATCCTTCGTAAATCCTTCTATCAATTTTTCTGTTGACTTTAGTCTTCGATTCATTGTACACGTGGCAAATCACAGGTACATCGATCGGTATCAATGAATTTCGTATCGTCACGGAATCTCATGAAAAGTGACTTCAACTCTTTTTCGTTGCGAATAACCGATAAAAATACGCATCCAATATATAAATATTTTCAAGTGTTGCTCGGCTCAAAGCCGCCTACTCGCCCGCTAAACTTAGAAACTGGCCTCCTGGTCCCAGGTACTGCCTAGGAAGATCATATCGACATTTTCATCGACCGAGATTTCACGTATCGTGCCATCATATCATCAACGTGGAACGCTAGAAAGTATCGACTGATTTTATTTCATAGACCATCTTCATTCTCCTCTTACGGGTAGTAGCATCCGGTAGAGATCTGTCAACTTTGAAACACTGTGCTCATTTGCGTTTCTGTTTCTTTTAATAGAATTAATAGAATTAAAAAAAAATGGCGATCAGATAAGATAACAATATTTTAAGTTATTTCTAATAGTAGTCCTTTTTTTTTTTTAAGTCGCTCGGATCGTGTCGTTTACGTCCATAGTGATGAAGGCAATTGATAGTTAATTCTGATTGTTGTGCTCTAGCAAGGTTGCTTGTTACGTTTCTCAATAGTTGTTCAGACATCAAAACATCGGACTTTGGAATATATTCAAGGCGTCTTAATGCTTCTTGAAACTTTCAAGGTATTGCTGCTGATTAATTATCTTGATAACTCTCCTCTGTGATATTTCTAAATCTTTGTTGGTACCATTCCTCAAGTTCTCCTCTGCACATCTATTTGTTCAACAGGCTGCCAAAAATACCGGTCTCAATCGAAAGTCACCAGCGTTCTAACTGTTGTACATTTCTTCTCACAATGTTTCTATCGTGCCATTATTTTCGCACATTGTTCTCGAAAGCTCTTCTAAACGAGCCTGAACGTTGAACATTCTAAATGCCAAGATCTTCCGCGTTGAAGATGTGTTACTCGTCTTCTTGCTGAAATTCAACAAAGCATCTTCCTTAGCGAGTGTTTCACTCGATCATTTGCCATAGAGTTTCAGGACACAACGATACCTATTTCTCCATAAGTTGTCAGGCCAGGTTGTTGTCTCTGCACACCTGTCACCTGTTCGAGCACGCGCTCGAACGCAAACGACGGTGTGCAACGACTTTGACAAGATCTTGCGTCACTCGGGTCACGGATATTTCTGGTGGTCGCGTGGCGTTCAACCCTCTTGCTATGCTCCGTGCCGGGTTATCTAATACATACTCCGCGCCTACTTTTGGCACCGAGTGTGTTTAGCATAGCGAGAACTCTCGATGAAAATCCCTGGCAGCCGAAGAATCGGCGCGCGATGACCAAGCCAACCCGTGAGATGTTCGCGAATCTCGTGCAAAAGGCAAATAGCTTCGCCTCTTGTTCTTTCATTTGTATCAGTGTATCACGTTGGCACGAAAGAATCCCGTGTTCTTTTCGTTCTTCTATTCTCAGGAGTGCAAAGCGAAGATGAGCTAGAAGTGCCGCCGGAGGATCTGTGTCGGCCGTACATTGAGAAGGCGTTGAAAGACCTCGGTACAGGTAACGTTGAAATGCTGTGGGATACTCGACTGGGGGGCACAGCGATTTCTAGAATGTTTCGTTTGAAGGATCTTTGGAGCAGACCAGTGCCGAGGACCGGACAGACGCCGACAAAGAGAGTCGAGAGGAGGATGGAAAACCTGCGAGCGAGGAAGTAAGACAGACGTCAGCAAGTGAAAATTCCTGAAACGGGGATCGGTGAAATTTTTATTCTTGATGTACACACCGTAGGAAGGCGAGCCTTCGACGGAAGGTGAAGCGGCAGAGGAGGACAAGCAAGAGTCGGTAGAGGAACCAGGCGATGCAGAGAGCGTCGAACAGACTGAAGAAGAGGCCGACAAAGCATCCGCGGAGACTGAGCAAGGCAGCGAACCTGGGGAGAGTGCCGAAGGAGGTAAACCTTTACTGGAACTTGTCGACGCTTGTTTCTCCAACATTGATAGAAATTCACTGAACTTTTCGCTCGGTCAAGAGTATTAAAGAAATAAAACTCTTTATCCTAGGTGAGAGTGAGCAACCGGATGAGAAGTCCGGTGAGCTGAGCAAGGAAGACTCGGTCGAACAAGCGGGAGAAGGTGATGCAGATTCTGGCCAAGAGGGAACTGAAGAGGACAAGAATGAGAAATCATCCTCCGGCGAGGAGGCGCAGGTAGAGGAGGAAAAATCCGAGGAGGCGGATGCTGAGAAGTCGGAGGAGGAGTTACAAGGGGAGGCTGAGAGATCGGAAGAAGCTCGCGGAGCTTCGGACGACGACGAGAAATCCGAGGAGGAGAAGTCGCAGGCTGACGATGGAGAAAAATCCGACGAAGCCCAGGCCGAGGGAGAATCGGCTGAACAAGCGAAAATCGACGACGATGAGGAGAAATCCGACGAAGAAGCCAAGACCGAAGAGGTGAAATCCGACGAGGACGAGGCGACCGATTCGAAAGCGGAAGAGACGGAGGAGGCAGTTTCTGACAAGGAGGAACAAGAAGAAGAAGAAGAAGAAGATAGCAAAGCCGAGCAGAAAGAGGAGGAAGGTGAACGATCGGCAGAGCAACAGGTGAGCGGCGAAGAGGCGAAGGAAGAGAGTAAAGAGGGTGAGAGTGAAGCGGAAGGGCAAACGGAGGAGGGAACGGAGCAGAGCGAAGAAGCGCGAGAAGGTAAGTCTGAAGAAGGGGCTGTGAAATCGGAGGAAGAAGAAGAAGGAGCGGGAAAGTCTGCGGAGGAGGGAACCGAGGAAGAGACCAAATCGGCGGAGGAAGAAGGGAAATCGATAGAGGGGGCGAGATCAGACGAGGAAGAAGCTGAAGACGCGGCGAAATCGCGCGCCAGGAGAGAAGTAGGCAAAGAGGAAGGCGAGCAAGAAGAAGGTGGAGAGGATGACGAAGGCTCGAAAGAACGAGGGGAGAGCGAGGAAGAAGAGCCTACCCCCGAGGAAGACCTGATTCAAGAGATAGAAATACCTGAGAATTTACGACCGCGCGATCACATTAATCAGCTGTTGAAACTAGACGAGGAGAACGAGGAGAAGGAACGGGCTATAGAGAAGAACGCGGACGTCATCCTGAAGGAGTTAAAGAGGGTATACGACAATGCCATCCAGCCACTGGAGTCTTTGTATAAATACAGAGACTTGAGCAATAGACACTTTGGCGGTAAGCAAACTAACTCAGATAAATAGAACGAGAATGCAATTAACGTAGACTGTTGATGACGTTCTCGTCGATTGCCTGTTGTCTCCGTAGATCCGGAAATATTCTCAAAGCCGTTAGTTCTCTTTATGGGTCCGTGGAGCGGTGGGAAATCTTCCATCATAAACTATCTGCTCGATAATGAGTACAGGCAGACGTCGTTAAGGACAGGTGCGTAAGTAACTGGAAAACGAGAAGAAAATTAGCGAGAATTTGCGTTGTTGCGAGGATGCTTCGACTTACTTCACTGTTGAACTGCTTGTAACTGAGTCGGCCGTGATCACGCCTTCGAAAAGTAGTAGACAAACAATGCTGATGTAAATATTTAGCGCTAGAAGCATGCTAGGAGCATGAATATACAGGTAGTGTTTAGGTGGTTTGAGAGAGTGCTTTGAGGAGCAATGCAAAACGCCAAATGGAAATGACACAGGAGCCGAGCCATCTCCGGCCTACTTCAATATTATAATGCACGGAGAGGAAGAGGAGATCCTCGATGGCACGCAGCTCGCCGCCGACTGGACATTCTCCGGATTACAAAAATTCGGCCAAGGATTGCTCGATCGTCTTAAGGGTTTACGACTCGGCAACAAGTTACTCGAAAAAGTCAATATTCTTTATATACGTTATAAATAATTCCGTTACCACGAAAATCTACTGTCCTAATGATGTTTAATGTTAACCGTTCCTTTCACGTCAGGTCAATATCGTCGAGATACCAGGAATTTTAGAAATTCGAAAGCAAGTCCAACGTTTATTCCCGTTTAACGACGCGTGTCAATGGTTCATTGACCGCGCGGACATAATATTTTTAGTATACGATCCATCCAAGTTGGACGTTGGGCCAGAAACAGAGGCGATCCTTGATCAGCTGAAAGGAAGGGAACATCAGGTAAATCTCGGTGATTGATATTGATACTCAGACGCGCGTTCGGCCATTGAATATAGGAGAATAATGAGTGTGAAACTTGTGTGCAACAGACACGCATCATTCTCAACAAGGCTGATCAAGTGAAACCGGAGGAGCTGATGAGAGTGCAAGGTGCTCTTATCTGGAATATATCGCCGCTGATGTCCAGCGCTGAGCCGCCGATAATGTACTCCACATCGCTGTGGTCGTTACCGTACGAAGCCGGTGCACCAACCAGATTGCTGTATGCTCAGGAACGTGCATTCCTACGCGACTTGCGTACTGCCATTGACAAACGGGTCGAGCACAAGATAGCGAGCGCCAGAAGATTCGCTGTAAGTCATTACGATCGACTCCTCTCACTCTCGATATCGATCTTTCCTCTCGTTTGCCTTAATCAATATATGTCAATGTTGATCCAACATTGATTTAACATGAAATTTAACGTGCAGGTACGGGTGCGCAATCACGCTAAAATGGTAGACTGTTACCTAACCACGTACTACAATCACAAGACGTTCTTTGGAAATAAGAAGGAGATCAGCGACAAGATCATCGAGAACCCGCAAGATTATCACATCTACGAGGGCCTGAGCACACTGAAGAACATATCGCGCTACGACTTGCCCGATCCGGACGTTTACCGGGACTTCTTCCGATTGAATCCCCTTTACGATTTCCCTCTGCTCAGCTCCACGTGCACGTACTTCCGCGGATGTCCGATCAACAGACTCGACGTTGCCATAGCATACGACCTGCCGGAGCTCGTCGGCAAATACAAGAAATCGGTGGAGCAAGTCGTACACGAGTACGAGACGAGTCCTTCTAGTTGAGTGTTACGCTCCTGCGTTCTCAAACGGAGCTCTTGATGCCGCACACGAGGTATGAGACGAGAGCAAAAATCGTACAAAACAAACAGCGAAAGAACGAAAGGGAACGGACCGGTTAGTGTAAGTTTGCCAAGTTTGAAGCAGTACAGAGAGAAGTTTTCTTTCCTGAAACAGCCAAGAACAGTAGGTTTGAATAGCCTCCAGGTAAAAAAAAAAAAAAAAAAA